GGTTGGTCACAGTGTACTTGACTAAATATGGACTGCCAGAAAAGAGGACCCTTCTACTCTACGTATGAATGAGAAACTGCAGTAGAAACCAAATCATGCCAGTCAGAGAAGACACATTCTCTACTTATTACACAGATGCTCACTGGAACTCAATATTGCAAAAAAAAAATGCAAAACCTCAGCATTTAAACAACAGGGGAATATATAGCATGGGGAACAAGGGCATGCTCATATTATCAAATATAATGGTACCATTTAAAATCGTACCTAAATACTTTTACATGATATGGGAAAATGCCTTGGTGTTCTGTGAAGAATATAAAAATATATACATATATCCTAACTTATGTTGAAAAAAAAATTGGCAGGAGATACCCAAAGTGTTAAAGGAGATTTTTCTCCTTGGAGTGGAATTAGAGCTATTCTTACCTTTTTTCCTCCATTTTGTTAATACTTAACCATATTTTAAACAGCATATATTTAGAATTTGAAAAAAAATGATGTTATTTTGAAATTTTTTCTATTCACATAGAATAGACTGGAGGGAAAAAAGTTTCCCCTCTACAGTTACTTAGAAACTTAGCTTGAGATTTACATTTCTGTCTGTAAGAACTTTGGAAAGTGGGCCATACCATCGACCCTTCTGTTATTAAGGCAAATTCGGCCTGGGAAGGTCTCTTCCATTACTTACTGACCTTGGATGAAGAATCCCCTTCCTAGGAGGGACCATGGCATACAGGACATTTACCTTCTACGGTCTGGTCCTGTACCTCCTGGTCCCCAGGGATAGGGATAGGGGTGCTGGGGTGGGTGTGTTTCTTTAGTAGACAGCAAGAACATTCAGGAATCTTTTTTTTCCTTGGCTACTCTTTTTTCCCCTTTTTGTGACATTAGTCATTTGGGACCCTCTTATATTAACTAGAAATTCTAAACTAGATTTCTAAGTTAGAAAGGGCTTTCCTAAATTAGAAAAAGGGGGTTGGGGAAACAACACTCCTACTACACATCTTACTACAGTAATTTTAATGATCCATATTGCAAAACTCTCAACTCACAGATAAACTTGGGTCTTTGATTTATCATATTGGACCCCATTAAACTCAGCGACTCACATAAGGCAATCTGAAACACCTGAAGTTATCATTTGAGTGTGAAAGGGTAGATTATCTCACATCAAAGATAGTACACATTTCTTCTTAAGGAAGAACAATTTCAACTTTCTTTTCTTTTTCAAAGTCTTCATAGAAGAGTTGTCCTTCACTATTTGTTTTGTTAAATACCATGAAAAAAAAAAGTTCACTGACTTGTTCTACATAATTTGGTAAACTTGATTTTTAAGGAATTAAGGGACTTTATACCAAGTTTTGTTTTAAACAGAAATGAGTCCTTCAAAGGACACTGCAAACCAAATGGACATTTGCAGATATTTCTGAAGAAATACACCATTCAAAATTTATGCATCCTCTTCTTCCTTAGCAATCTGTACTGCTCGAATGATGAAGATTGAGTGATTTCTAAATAATTTTTTTCTGAAGTATCAGTTACTTCTTTGTTCCTCCTTTTCAACCAAAGGCTTGCCAAACTTGTCAAAGTAAGATACAGTGTTGACTTCATTAATTATCTGGATAATTTGGCTCTTCTTATGTGAACTTCTTGGTCACAATCTCCCTTTCCCGAGAGTCCTTGTTAGGATTGTCCTACATCTGTTGAGTCTTTAAAATTCAAAATATGACAGCTAAGATTAAATTTAAACCTAGGCTGAAAAGCCAGTATTTATTCCTAAATTTCTAAGAACTGGGCTTATTTCAGTGAGTGAGCTTGGCTGGAGGAGGCAGAGAGCAGAACGGTTAAGGACTTGGAGGATATGGGCTTGAACCCTGGCCCTGCCCTTCAGTGCCTGTATGATCTTGGAGAAGCAGCCTAACACACCAAGGCTTCTCATTCTTTCCTCATATATAACATGGGCTGAGATGTAAGTACCTACTAAGCGCACAGTGAGTGAAAGCAATTAATACTTTTGACTCTCGGTCTGTAAAAATAGAGATAAAATGATAATTCTAGCTGTACTGTAATTATTATAAAGTGTTCTATACACTTACAAGGTTCTACAAACATCATTTTGATTTCTGCAATACTGGATTTATTCTCATTCTTTTCTATGGTGCTTTTGTTAATACTGAAAAGCAGGTCATTCTATTCCATGTAGCTTTTTTATCATCCCCAGTATAGAATTCAGCCTTCTCTCATATGCCAAATTAACTGCCACCACCAAAATTGTGAAAGTGATAATAGGTTTTGATAGTCTTGTTAGAATAAATATTCCATAATATTCAGGTTTCCTCCCTGACTGAGCTATATATAAAATTCCAAGGCAATCCATACAGAATAGTTCATGTTCACAGAAACTATCAGGAGGCCCTGAATGGATTGTTATAGGCCTCTTCATAGCCCCTCCCAGACCCACACTAACACTCTGAGATAATTAATGAAATTGTAATTCTTTCACAGCCTCATAGGTGCCACTTATTCAACTTTCGGTGGAATATTTCATATATCTGGATTTTCATTTTAAAAGTTCTGTCCACGTTTTCTATAGAAACCACAAACTGAAACGTTTATAATCATTAAAAAAAAACTCACCTAAGAAACATTTTCAGTGACTTTACTATCATTTGTTCTTGACAAGTCAGAGACTGCAATATTAATATTTCGCATTAAAAAAATTTCCATTTCTTAATCATCTTGAAAGCTTGCAAACCAGGGGCTGCTTTGACATTTGTACTCCCTACTTTAGGATTAGTAAATTACTGGAAAAGGAAGCATTGTTCACTCTGGCAAGGTGTGATATGCCTGCCACTCTCTAAAGAACAACGGCAGAGGCCTACCTCGTGTCCATCTGACTAGAATCTGATATATAACTCAGTTTGCAAAAGCTGCATATTTTCAGAAGTCACTTCATTCCATATATATGACAAGGTCACTCTTTAGCTCATACGGTAATTCTTTTCCTCCAATTTAAAACTAAGAAAAAGTAAGCTCTGTCCTCCTCACTCTGTACTATTTTAAAAAATAATAACCACCTGATATCAGAAGGCAAAACAAGGTTTTGGAAACCTATCAATTTCCTCCCCCATCTCTCCACCCTAACTTTAATAAAGTATCTCTACCACCAGGCAGCCTATAACCTCAAAAATACACTGGTGCTTATGGGATAAGGACCTCAAACAACTGTTGTTGATAAAACTTGCCTCTGGGCAAAAAGACAACTCTTCAGGTATTTTGTTTATGTCAGCTATGATAATTAGGTTAGTAGTGTTTAAGGATACATTTGAATTATTAGACCCACTAGGAAAGCATCTGTATAGTTGCATTTTATGTCTAGCCTCCCTTTTGTAAGCACGGGACATCCCTTCTCTTACACTGAAATCAAATTCTTAGTTATATCACCCTTGTATTAAGTCAAGGCAACTGTGAAGCAATCCTGTGTAGTGATCAGGAGAGTGGCCTGGGCTTTTTGACAACCTTTGCGACAGGTCCAAGAAGATAAGCCTTAAAAGTGAAGGTTTGGGTGAACACAGGGCACTTTCATCTAAAATGTGCAATATAGTATATTCAGGTCAAGAGCCTTTCCGATTGTAGGAAATACTCGAAATCACCAGTTAATTATGCAAAAAGGGAACAAGGTGGACCAAAAGGAAAGGTTCCTACAAGCAAACATGGGGGACGCTGGTGAGGTACCAGCAGGGCAAAGCGTCAACAGAAACGGCATTATTTCATCCAAGGAAATTCGGCTTACAAATAGAGGTCTCTAGAGACCCTGTTACATTACATTGTGAACACTTAGAGCCAATAAAATTCAAGTAGAAAGTAGCTTACAATGTGGGCTAAGTATTAGGGAGCCTACAGAGTGGCAATCAGTCAAAAGTTCTGGGCAGAGGGAGACAAATTCAAGCAGATACTCAGCAAATGGAAGAGTTAAGAAAACCCTCTCTGAAAAACGGTTTGGGATTTTAAAACTAAAAATGTACCAAAATAGGTACATTTCCTATATACACACGCATCTCTTGACTTAAAGGAAAAGAAAAGAAACAAGGTAACTACAACACGGGAGTATTGCTCATCACAGGCTCTAGCCGGTTCCCACACCTGCCCAACCAGGTGGCATGACGTTGCCTGCCCCCATCCTCTTCCTGGCTTTAAAATGCAACTGCATCCCGCTGCATGCCCTGCAAAAACGGTCCCCAGTGGCAAAGTGCAGAGCACCACTGCTCCGCTGCTGCTGGACAGTTTTGCAGCGCTAGATTTGCAATGACGCCACATGGTGAGAAATACGGGAAAACATGAAAAAGAAAACAAGGACGAGAAGGCAGCAAAAAAAAAAAAAATGTAGTCCCCTTCTTTAGTGTGTCCAAGAGGAAAAAAAAGAACCCCCAAACCAGAGATAGCCCAATGGTCGGCTTACCGGGACACATTTGGACACCCCAATCCATTCCTGGTTTAAAAAAATTAGAAGTACCTGGGAAATCAACTTGGACATACTGCAATTCAAAATCTCCCTATCATCCCCAACACCATTACCATCACCTCCAAATAAAAAAAAAACCAGCACTTGAGCGATTCGAAACTACATTTTACTCACAGACCTGAGGTTTACATAATAATAACAACAAATTACATAATACTCCTGCGGTGCACAAAAATCCCCTTCTATAGGTGAGGCTTCAAACCCTCGGTCTTTTACCATTTGCTAGAGAGAGCTGGAAAAGTCTGCTGAATAATTGCGGGAAGGGGGAAATAAGAGTGCTGGAAAAGTCATCCTTGACAGGCTACAAACCCAACCAAAGGTTCCAGGACAAAAAGGGGCTCAGAGCAGGTGACTCCCCTCTGCCCCCATCCCTGGCGCCCGGGCGTCTAAGGCCGCAGGCAGAGCGAGCCGGGCGGGGGCTTCGGGGTGCGGGGCGGCGCTGCCGGGGCCGGGAGGGGGCGCGGCCGGGACTTACCTGCTCCCCGAAGTCGATGGCTATGTTGGTGATGCCCAGGGGCACGAGGAACCGGATCAGGGGCCAGTAGTGTGTGAGCGCCGGGAATTTCACCATAGTCCCCGCCGTGGGCCGACCCCACACACATCTGCCGCGGCGAGGGCACTCTCCTGGGGGCGCGGGCGCGGGGGCCCAGCAGGGCGCGGGCGGGCGGAGGCCGGGCGGCGGGGCCTGGGGCGGCGGCGACGGATCCTCGCGGCGGGGCGCCCTCTCCGAGCGCGCTGCTCTAGCAGGAGCTCCGCAAGCTCAAGTCCATCCCCGCTGCCCTCCCACACAACAGAGATCTGCCGGGAAAAAAAAGAGGAGGGACGGGGACGGCGGCGGCGGCGGCGGCAGAAGGTTCTGCTGACAGCGGCTCCATTATAAGCGCTCTGGGGCCGGAAATAAATAAATAACCGCGCGCACGAGGCGCCGCCGCCGCCGCCGCCGCCACCGCCGCCGTGCGGAGGAAATCAGGGGCGGGCGCGGAGGCGCGGACACCGCCGGCGGCCCGACGCGGGGGCGGGGCCGGGCCGGCAGGGCGGGCGGTGCCTTCCTCTCCGCTTGGCCGCCGGGGGCGCTGCGCTCGCACGGGCTGCGGGCCGCCGGCCGTCGGCCCTGTCGCGCCCGGGGCGCGCTGGGTGGGACTCGCCGCGGTTCCCCGGCCGGCCCGGGGTGGCGATGCGCAGCGCGCAACCGTGGGGTGACTCGCGGCACCTGGAAGACCCGGGGCTGTGTCCCCGCGCAGTCCGGGGAGGGCCGGGGCGTGGGGAAGAGTGGCAGCCGGCGCAGGTGACGTGAGCGCGGACGCACGAGGAGGGACCGGGCGCGCAGGGACCCGAAGGGAGAGAGTGTGGAGGCCCCCGCGGGGCAGCTCGGACCCCATCCCCTGGTGGCCGCCTCAAGGCAGGTGGAGTTGCGGAGGGGGCAGCTCCGGTCCGGAGCTGGGGGCCTATGTCTGGCGCACCTGGGGAACTAGGGGCCCGGGAGAGCTGGAGGCCCCACCCTGGACGGGCGCGAAAGATGGAGAAAAGGTGGTCGCAAAGGGAGCAGAACTCAGGGTGTCCAGGGGCGACGATGATGCGCGTCCCTCGGGGATAATGCTCAGAAGGTCTCAGGGACCAATCCCTGCAGGTGCTCTGGCTGGGCTGGCTGCCCCTTGGGTGGCTCAGACCTGCCCGCAGCGCAGTGTGCTAGTAGTGAGCTGGGATTCTCCTCAGTGCACCACAGTGATTAAAAAAATAAAAAGCGAAAAACCAAGGACTCGAGAAGTCTCTTAAATAAACAAGGGGAAAGAAGGAAAGAAAATTCCACCTTATAATACTGTGCTCTCGTAACTGCAGGTAAATAATAGCTGTGCTGTGTTTTACCTAAAACTTAAGAACAGTGTGATAGCAAAGCCAGCATCCATTTCGGCACCCAGGGCACTAGAACAGAAGGGCTGCAGCCTCCGTGAATGAAAAGCGGCTCTGGGAAGCAGGGGGTATATGGGAAATCTATGTGCCTTTTGCTCAGTTGTGCCCTAAACCAAGAACTACTCTAAACTACAATAGTCTTATTAAGAGAGAGAAAAAGGGACTCTCATGTGCAGGGGCCATGGGTGCATAGTCGTGGCAAAGGTCTCAGCACTTAGAAGTACCTGTGTTTGTTTAATGCTCTGCTGTCTCCCTCTTGAAATTCGTGATTTTTGAAGTTGATAAGGAAAAATTCTGAAGTGTCCGAAAGTAAATGTCATAAGGGCTGGAGAATGAGGGAGAGAGAAAGGGAAGATCATCAGTCAACAGCCATGAGCCATACCTAACCAGGAACTCCACCTGCCTGGATGGAATTATTTCAACAAATTTTCTTTCCTTGAGACCCCTCATAAATGTGCCCTGTTCCTTGAGTCTGGCAGACAAATAATGTCTGTGAACTGGCCTTGATGCTGGCGAAGCAAAAACTTCCTGTCCCAGGACTCAATCCTTATTCTGGCTGTATCTGTAAAGGTTCAGTAAAAATCTTTAGTTCGGAGATCTCACGGTCTCTAGAGTTCTTGATGTGTCAAAGGAGGGACGTGGCAAATTATGTAGCTCATCCTGCTCATCTTACTTTGTACACCTCACTCCACATGCATCTTTTAAAGTTTAATTAACATAATGAATTAAAGTAATTTATTATTAAAAGTAATAATTTTCCACCTAGGAATCAGCCTATTACTTCACAGTTAGCTTTGTAAAGCTTGTGTTAATAGTGACCTTGAGACCTCAAGCTCCTGGTTTCAAGTATTTCACAATTTATTTGAAACTATTAATTGTTTTCCATACTTTATGCCCTTTAAGAGACATTTTTAAATTCCACAGTCTGAAAAAGGCCTTGAGAAATCGGAAGCTCATTTCTCTAGTAGCTTTGAAGTAACCTCAAATCACATTCCCCTATAATTAAAATGAAATTTTGGTAATTATTTGTGTTAAATGTGTCAAAAGAATATTATTTAAAAGACTTGCCAGCAAAACAGGAAGTTCTTGTGTATAGGAGGTTCCTGAAAGCAGGTTCCTGAAAGGTGTGTTTTAATCCAGTCAAATCTTATTTTAAGTATACTCAGAGAGCTTGTTATTTTAAGGAATTCTCTTGGAAGGAGTTTTTTTCCAAAACAAATATCACCTCAGGGTTTATCCATTCTGTCAGTCTAGGTTTCTGTGGGCTTATTTTATGTAAGGCCATCTAATTACACTGGCCTTGGCCTCCGGGGTGGGACTGATGAGGTCCTCAGTCAATCCTGATGAAGTCCAGCTTGCTTTGGTTGGTCCCTGGACAAGGACCCGCCAAACTGCGGCTGCTGATTGATGCAAACACACCTTCTGTCTTAAGGAGGAATGGTGAGAAAGTTCTAGTGAATCAATGAAAGGTCATCATTCTTGTTTGAGTATTTGAAAGTGTATTTTTTTAATGAGTGATTTAATGGTGTCATCTTTGATTTTGTCAAAGAGCACCATGTAGATTCGAAAGGCTTCTGAATTCCAATTACACTATGGCAACGTGGAAGTGAATGGGACATTTAATTATTCTTTTCTGTCAGATAGTCAAAATCAGATAATAGATATCAAAAGGAGATTTTGGTTCCTCTCTCTCTCTTCCTCTTTTTAACTTAGTAGTTGTTAGAAGAGAGAATGCCAGACTACAAGTGATGATAATGAATAGGAAGTTTTCTAAATTGCCTGGAACCCAGGAAGAGATCACAAAGTCATTTAAGTTAGGTTTAAGAAGGGTTATCTTCTGGAGGGTAGAGATTTATCTTCAATTTACAAAGTCTTTAGGTTAGATTTGATTGCTTTTAGCCAAAGGACATTACAAGATTTACAGACTCCACATGAAACTGTGTAAAAAAAAAAGCATCTGTACATATGAGGAACGATACTGGAAGAAAATATGCTCAACTATTAACAGTGATTAGTTATAGCTGTGTAGGATTATTACTTTCCTTTTATACTTGTATTTAACACAATGCACATATATGTTTATAGAAAGAAAAAGTTACAAAAATATTTACAAAACTTCTCAGAAGTTTAGCATTAATTTCAGAGCACAGGAAAAGTTACTTTTCCCCAAGATAATTTGATAAGTGACTAGCAATATACTATTATTGTGATGCTTAAAATCATTAATTCCAATTTTTGAAGAAGTTATGCAAAAAAAAAAAAAGAAGAAGAAACTAAAAGTTACATATGTGTGTGGAATTGATCTTAAGTGAATATGTTCAAGTCGCCTCCAGGGATCATCTGCTGCACAGGGCAGAATAAAAGGTCATGTTTGAGATCATCCAGTTCTAGAACTGTTTAACTCACATTCCCTTGATTTGAAGAGCTGATAGCAGCAATTGGAACTGTAGCAACGGACATGGTCTGAGGCAAATGCCATAAAGATTTGTATAAGAATTACTTTATGGAGTTATGTACATTGGTCACACATAATTATCCTCAATCATGTATTTGGTATAACCAACTTATTTAACAGATCATTTTGATGAAAGAATTAGTCCTGGATGTTGCTGTCTAGTTTTTAAATGAGTATTAAGCCCCCTAAAATAGAGTAGACTAGAAACCTAATAGGTCTACATCTGGGCTTAGTGCCATTTTACTACATGGTTCACAGGGGACGTGGTAAAGGGAAACCTTTGATTCTAGACAATTTAATTGTGTTCACATAAATATTGTTCTATTTGATGAAGTCATGACTTCTTCCCATATCCAAGCTTCTGGAGAACAGAAAGAGAAATTGTTTCTTTTCCCCCAATGCAGGTCTGAGAATTACTCTATAAAGTAATTCTTATACAAATACAATGTGTCATTCCAACTCAAAGCCATATTACGATTTGCCTGTGCTAATCACCAAAGCCAGTTTTTGCCCTCTCAGGACATCCCAATAGTCAGCAGTGGAAGATGAGTCACACAGGTAAATTATCCTCCAGTGGAACATTTGCAATAGATCGACTAGAACTGGTTAAATTCTGCCAAGAGTTACAGTTCTCACTTTTAAGGACTTCTTTAATAATAGTTTTAAAGGGACCACACAGATGCTTTCAAAATGTACTTTCTAAAGGAATAGGGGGAAACTTCTACATGCTGATCTGCAGAATATTTTGTTAAGTATAGAATGCAAGGTGCCAGACTCTGCAGCGGTATGTCATTTTGGGGGTAGAAAGGGAGAGAAATGTGAATATGATGGTGTGTGCATCTGTGTATTTGCTTATATTTGTGAAAAGATGCACTGGAAGTATAAACCAGAAATTATTCAGATATGCAGCCTATGGGGGAAGAAAAGAGCAGGGTGGAATAGGGACGGAAGAAGGACTTCTCTGAATGCACCTTGTTATCTGATTTTGGCTTTGGAAACATTAATGGTTTACATGTCGAAAACAAAATCTAATCAAATCTAAAGTTATGAACAGTAGACATAAATGTCATGCATTTTTTTTCTTGTTTACTCCTCTTTTATTCTAAGAAAATAACTTGAGACAGCTTTAATCAGAGCACAGATAGATGGCTTATCCACTTGGATGAATTTTGATTTTTCTGTAATTGCTAGAGAATAAAACATTTAGGGAGCCTCTTGCCAGGTCAGTTATGTTACCTGATGGCAGTGTGTATTAGTAATTATTAACTTACTCTTATATCTGAAAAGTGACCTAAAAAACAAAAATAAGTTTTGGGATGGGTTCTGCTCATGCCACTCCGAAACACTAGCATCACCTGACTTTCAGGATTCCAGAAGTGATATACTTTGCATAGGTGAACATTTGATGATTTGCTGACTTTTATTTGGCTCATTAAGGTGAAACACAGCAGGTAAGTATATATGTAATTCATCCTAGCTCTGCAAACCTTATGTCTGGCAATTTTTAATGAATGGAATGGAATGGAGGATGGAACTGAGATTAAAATGTAGCTGCCTTCCATTACCATTACCATTCCTTTTGCTT